GCATCCCTTGAGTCCGCAATCAGGTATGTGAGGGGATCCAAGCTTCTCTGCTTGTCGCCCTCTTGGCGGCAAGTTTTGCCCACTGCGATTTAGCTTGCCGATAGACAAATTGGCCAGCAACAAGTGGCTCTATAGTTGAACGGTTGGTTTTCAGACCCGGATGAAAGCCCTGGCCAGCATTTGGATTGGGCAAGGTTGAGGAAAAGGCGGTCTCCTTGGAGGGGCTTCCATCTATTTTGTGGCTTGGTTTGGGGGTGCTTTCCCCATTTGGTTTCAAACATAGCTGGGGAACAAGCCCACACCACCCCGCCAACATTCGAGGGCGGCCTTTAAGTTTCTTTGGTTTTGAGGTTTCCTGTGCGTGAAGAACTTCCCTAGGTTCAAACCCATTTAGTGCCTTGCACATCCATTTTTGGCAAGCAGTGCCCAACCTCAAGGGTTTGTGATGAGACTTGATCTTTGTTGGCAGCCAGAAGTCTCTCCTTTTTGTTTTTGTTTCGCACCCTCCAAATTCAAAGCTGGAACTTTGTTGGGGTTATTCTTCCCAGGTGGGGAAGCCCGAATAAGTGTTTGGGGTGGTGACCAACAGTGGACTTTGTGGCCAAGTGTGTGACGCTGGCCCGTCCGAGCTAGCTGTCTGTCCGAGGGGCGTCCGTCACCAGTTCGCCTGGGCATAGCACGTCCGTCCGGCATCTGTCCGTCCGTCCGTCTTCCGGCAGTCCTTCGAGGGCGTCCGTCCGGCGTCCGCGTCCCGACTCGTCCTGCGTCCGAGGCGCGTGCGTCCGTCGACCGTCTGTCCATCCGTCCGCGTGTGTCATGCAGGGATCCGTCCGAGGGGCGTCCGTCGTCCGTCTGCCTTCCGCCGACGTCCGGGTCTGTCTGGCAGTCGTCCGTCCAGCGTTCGTCCGTCTGCGCGTCCGTCTGCGTCCGTCCGTCTGCGCTGCGCCCGTCCGTCTGCGTCCGGGTCCGTCGTCTGGGGGGCGTCCGTGACCCTTTTTTTAATCCCACACATCCTCCCTGCCTTTTTTCCCCGTCCAAAAGGCGGAAAAACCCGTCCAAAAGGCGGGAAAAACCGTCCGTCCGGGACGCGTCCGACGGCGTGACCCTTTTTTTAAAAAAGGGTACTTGGTAGGGAAAGGTACAAGGAGCCAAGATTTTGAAGGGCACCGTCCAGTTTTCCAACAAATGGCAAATGAGCGTGTGCCCGATTTCACCCAAAGAGTGGTCGAACAATATGTCAAAATGTTTACCATATACTGCGCTTGACCTCTTGTGGTTCCCTTCGCTGCCCGTGTCGAACAGGGCTCCATTTTGGACACGCCTGCGCCCTTCAAACTATGCAGAGCAACACAGTGATGGGAACAATGACTCAACAGCAGCGTGCCCGAAATGGAACCTTCATTTTTTCAGTGGGGGGGGGGGCAGATCAACTCACAGGAGGGGGGGGGTGTTTCTTGTTTGTTCTGTGCTTGATTCCAGCCTTTGGCCTTAGGCCTGGTGATATCATAAGCTGGAGTGAAAAGGCTTGGTGTGACTTGGCTTGGGGCCCCTTTCATTTTCCGGTAAACCAACCCCAAGCCCATATTTGGAAGCGTTTCAAGTTTAGCTGGGGACCTTGGGTCGTACTGCGGGAAACCATCTCATTTCGCACGGTGTCCCCTCTTGACCGTTTGGGGGAGGGTTGTGATTAAAAGGGCGCCCTATTCCATTTCCCTTTTGAGCTTTTGCACCTTTTGAGGGAAATGGGGAGTTTCCCAATGATCAGTTTGCGGAGTCGACATTATTGCTTTCTATCAGCAAGTGCCGTCCGCCATACCGCTTTTGTTCAAAACTGCAGGCCGTCCAGTTTAATTCAGTGAGCAGGGGTCCCAGCAATTGCCAAAATGCTGCGATCTCTAGCCTCAATCCTTTGGGACACAGACGCGGATGAACTTACAGGGTCAACACCTCAGCCTGCTACTCACCTTCCTGATGAGAACTGTTCACTTAAGAGGAAGCTGGTTTGTCTTGAAGGCGGGCAATGTGTTCACCCAACCATCTCTGCGGATGATGCAACCCAGGCCTCGCCAGGGTACCGCTCCTTCTGGCTGCAATCCTTGCGGGGCGACGTGCTGTCACAGAACAGACTGCAAACAGAGGTACTCCCCATGTGCACAGAGTCCGATTACTGCAATGGGAAGCTGTCGTTTGAGTTGTGCAAAAACCCAAAGGCGACCGCCAGTAGCATTTTCAAACATTCGGAGGAGGCTGTCAAGCGTTTGTGGCAACGCCACCCGGCCGTGTTCAAGGTAGGGATCACCTCGAACCCCATTGTTCGATGGAACCACCCCCGCTATGGATACAGCCATGACAAGCGGGAGCTTTGGCAGGGGATAAAAATCCTCGCTGTTTTCACGAATTCGTGTAGCAGCGCTTTGCTGGAGTGCATGTTAATTAGGATTTTTCGAAATAGCCCTGGCTGTCGGAACCAAGCTCCAGGCGGCGAAGCGGCCTCACCTGAAGAAGGGCCCCATTTTGTGTACGTTGTGTTTAGACTTCTTGTGCCACCCCCTGGGGTGGGATGCCGGAAGCTTGCTTAATTGAAAGCCGGCTGCAGAACATCCACAGTTACCGCATGCCCTGTTCTTGAAGGCCTACCCTACCCCTTCCAGACCATTTCCATCTAAGCTAGCGTGCGGTGGCAAGTGGCTCGCGGGAAAGAACTGCATGCGCCAAATCTCCAACAAGTTGATTGCGTGTGCGCACGCGACAAAATAAAACACATTGTGATTGGCACCTGCACCGTCTTGATATTGCTGTGACGCTTCAAAGTCGGGTTGCCCCAAGACGGTCTGACCAAAAAGCCATGCGCCCTTTGACACACGCCAGAGTCTTGAAGAAACGCACTGCAGTGCACTGCAGTGATTGGAACATCAAGCCTGCAGCCTTGCGCGCCCGACCGCCGGCCTCCAAGGGAATGGCGGACAAACTCCCCAGCCAGGCTTGGAGCTCTGAGACCTTGAAACAGGGGGATGAAATCTTGGCAACGCAGCTTGTCAAGTGTGAGCCAGCTGAAGAGGAGGCAGCCATGGAAAGGGAGCTTCAGGATTGGGAATGTTGTTTTTGCCAGGAAACCCCGTTTGGGGGTCCAAAAAATATATTGTCCCACCTAAAGCATGGTGTGCCGTTTGTTCTTTCCTGCGGGCGCCTGAAAAGGGTCAAGAAAAGCAGTTTTTGGGCAATCTTTGGGGACTAGCAAACAAGTCTTCCCTTAGCATCTTGTCGCACCAAAAAACATGCCAAGGCACACTCCCTTACATCCCCCCCCCCCAATGCCTTTAGGGACAAACATGCAGTCGAACCAGCTAACTGGGCATGCATTCTTGTTCTTTCAAACTTTTCGTGTACCAAACAAAAGTATATAGTCGTTGGTTCAAGTATGGGGTCAATTGAACCATGTTTTGTTGCCACTTTAAGCAACCAACGGGCTTTCCTGAGATTAAAACACACCTGGTCATGCTTTTTCTCCCTGCAAAAACAGTCGATCCATGTTTCAGCCCTCAAGCAAAACATGTAAAGCGCGAGGTTATATTTGGAACCCGTGTGGGTTCTGCAGATGTGGAAGGTACCCGGCTACACCCCTCGCAACAGTTCGATCCTATCGGGCGTGCGGATTGGATGTGTGATTCGCCTCATTTTGTTTCACGCAGTGTTCCGTGCATCCCGCAAACCCACGCGGAACCCTTGCTGAACCCACGCAGAACCCTCGCGGACCCTTCGCAGCACTCTCGCGGAACCCTCCTCAGAACCGCCGCGCGCGCCCCCGGAGCTCTCGCAGAATCCTTGCAGAATTCCCTGCTCGGAACCACCGTGCATCCCCGAAACCCTTGCAAAAGCTTTTCAGAACTCTCCCGGAACTCCGAACCCTTGCAGCAGCGGAAGTTGCGCGGAACCCGCCGCAGACCACCCCAGAGCTGTATCTGGGCTGAGACCCCATTGCTTTCAGCTGTTGTGAAAATTCAGCTGTTGTGAAAAATGAAAACCCTGTTGAGATGTTGGAGTGCTGGATCCACCAACCTATACGTCTTCTATTTTGAGGGGATGCATTGGGGGATGGTGACGGGGTGTTTGCTGGTGATGCTGGTGTCAGAAAATGTCCTGTTTGAGTGGAACGAGTGCTCTTTTGTTGTGTGTGTGTGTGTGTGCAATAGCTTGGACTACACCGTTGGCATAGAGAAGGTGAACTCTGAATAGTGTCGAAAAGCGATTTTTTTGATTCAGGCTAGACATGTAAGCTCCATTGTTATTACTTCTCACCTCCCCCCTTTCCCGGCTTTCCCTGCTTCTCCCGGGTTTATCGGGGGCGCTCGCTTGACCAACACCCCGAGTTGACTTAAACCACGCAACATTTGGTGGGCAAGGCGCCCAGCAAAGCCAGCGTGGTATCGGTACCCTGCCACGCGCAGGAGCTGGAGAATATGAAGGCTACTATGGCGTCTTCTCATCCCACAGCGATTTCCGAGACCACACCTGAAAAGGTGTTGAAGAAAAGCCGCGTGAGCGATTCCGCCGGGACTTCGCCGCTGCGACCTCGCCCACTCAACTTTCAGGACACGGCCAAACACTAGCTGGTTCGCAAAGCATGCAATTATGCTACCTGACCCTGCGTTGGGTTATGCCTAGGATGTGCCTGAAAATGGCACTCAACGTTGTTCTTTCAGACTGAGCTCCACAAAAAAAGTCTACGTTTTGTCTGTTGAAGCCCTTGAAAGGAGGAGTGTCTCTTGGAAGACAGCCAAGACCCATATGCAACAGACACAATCCCTGCTGCGCAGCCATCCTTGGGGGAATGTCCGGAGCACTTGGATATTCATAAGAAGTGCCAGGGGCTTCAGGGTGAAGTGGACCGCTTGAACTTTGAAAACATCGAGTTGAACCGAGAGGTGGGAGAGCTCCGGGACAGCCTTGCGCAGCTACAATTGCGGGGGGAGCCGGAGGAAGAAACCGAGAAGGACTCAGGCCTGAGCAAGGAGGCCGGCATGAAGCGCCTAGCGCGCTTATGCGAGAAGAAAGCTGACGGGAGCCTTTGATGATTTGAACGGCGTGCCAAGGAAACAAAATCAAGAACACAACATTGTTCTGCTTGTTTTTCCAACCCCTCACTTCCCTCGGTTCAAGTTGGTCATTCTACACTTTATCAGCTTTTTAACGTGTGATGGCCATTCACGGGCACGGGTCCTCATTTGCTGTAAAGGGTCCAAGAGAAAAGCAAGGGAAATCTAGATCGGAACGCTGAACTAAAAACATGAGGTCTGCCCACAAGTTCCATTCATGCCCGACACTCAGGAAGACGCGCGTGCCTGAGAAGGTCCACCTTGCCTGGGCCGCGGGAGGGGCGGAGCGAACCCGCCTCCTTCAACTTCTTCAGGAGGCAAATTTTGACAAGGACGCTGTGTTGACAGTCCCTGAATCGAAAGTTACTTTGCAAGCGGCGCCTTGGGTGTAGAAATCATTCTGAAAAATGACCCCGCCTGGTTTGACCCACCCTCCAGAAAATGTTTATACCAGGGCCTGGTGTGCAGGAAACCTTCTTGAAGGCTGTGCAGTTGGAGCTGGAGTCAAAAGAGCAAATCACCTACAGGGGCCGCAATTTCTGGGCAACAGAAGACACCATGCGGGACACCTTGCACTACAAAGAGACCCTTGTTTGTAAGCCAGATCGGATAGTTCTTGCGACAGCTTCCTCTCAAATGCAGTAGCATGTATCCAAGGAGCCTCATCCGTGGCATCAAGGAGTTTTGCGCGAAAAAGGAAGGGTACACCAAGCTGCTGAGCAAATATTATGGAGCCGCCCTGTCTGGCAGAAGGCCCAGCCATTGGGTAACGTGAGATGTCGGTCAATTCAGTCGTCAATCTTGCCTCCCTTCAATGGCGGGGTTAGTATCCACAAATTCCAAAAAATGCCTCCATGTGCCATGACCCAAGGTATGACAAATACGAGGCAAAGCTCAAGTATTACGTCGAAGAAGATGCAGAGACTGAGTGGTCCAAGACTGAGTCAAGGGCCCGCAGAGAAGAGGTAAATTACACCGTGGAAGTCAATGCGTCGGATGCTGTCACCGACATGTCGGCCCCTCTTCAAGTCAACATGGCTACAGCCACTAACGGATCCTCGACTCCTTCTTAGCGTTGTCAGCTAGCGCCTTTCGGGCCACCAAGCCACACTTATCCAATCCAAGGCACTGGTGGCGAAGCTGGCAGCAGCAGTCAGACGCCACCAAAGCCTCAGAGCGCTGCCCCCGCCTCTACCCTTCCAAGGGTGCTGAAAAATGAGAAACCTTCGGAGGTGATCGTTAAGTACATGGAAGGGGTGACCAAACGGGCGATGAAGGTGGCTGCCCCTTGTCAAAAAAACTGGCCTGGGCAGCACATCCCTGAAGGTGGAAACGTCCAGAAAGATTGAAAACCCTCTTAAACTCCATGGGGCCGTTTGGGTTTCTTTGCAGCTGCAACTTCACCTCCAGAATTGCCAGCAGGGTCCTTCAGGAACTGAAGAACAAGTACGAGGCTATTCCCGAGGAAAGCCGCACACCCGCACAATCTGCGCTTCTTGACTCCGTTCGGCGATTGTCCTTACCCTCACTGGTAAAACAAACGATTTGGTTTTTGTCTTAACACATATATACAGTGGGTTTGGTTTACTTGAGGGTTCGCTTGATGGCGGTTGCTCTTTACTTTCCAAAACCTCAGGACGATTGCTTTTCGCTTTGCAACTCTGAGGCTGATTATCAAACTTGAGGAGAAGGTCCAAACCCTTGACACAATCCACTCAGAAATCAACACGGTGTTTTCGCATGGCGCAGTGGAGGGATACACGGATGCGAACCTTAGCTGCCCTAGCGAAGCCGCTCAACAAATCGCAGCACCGTCGAACAGTTCCACTTGAACCTGTGCGATTTGCTTGCAAGGGCTTGGGGGTGGAGGCAAATTATGGGACTTAGATTTGACATCTAAGGAACGAGGAGAAGCTCACCTCCGTTTACAAGAAGGCTCAGAAAGAGCCACTCGGTTGCTTCAGTCCATGGCCTGAGCACGTGGCATGCACGCGAGTTAAACTCTTTTGGCATCTGTGAAAGTTGCTTGTTCAATGGCGCTATATGCGCCTGCGCACTGAGGGCGCAGGAGTCTCTGACCTTGGAAACGCGTGCCAAGAGCATCCCTCTCCCCAAGTCTGCCGCAAAGGCTGCGGCCAAGCCAAAGGCTAAATCGAAGGCATTGCCAAAGCCGAAGGCGGCTGCTGGGCCTCAGGCAGAGCCGAAGCCAAAGGGGGCACCCAAGCGTGGTGCTCGCAAGTAGTCGCAAAAGGTTCATTTTTGGACCAGTTTTGGGTGAGCCAGTGCATCTTAGTTTGCCATTAGCGAGCTAGCTGTCAAAAGAGGTCTAAAACACTTTTTTTTCAAGTGTTGGGGGTGAGTGTATCTGTCCAGATCTCACTTATACTCATGAACCTGTTGCGGGTAACATCGCTGTGGGCAGACTATGCGTTAGGAACGCTGGCAAGTCCTATAGAGTTAGAAATGAGGTATCGCGCGAAGAGGAAAAACAAGCGAACTGTATCTTGTTTCCGTGCTACGCGCTCGCCTGCATTTCAGCACACGGGCAAATTAGCGAGCTACATGAAGAAAGCGTTTGATTGCACACATGTGTGCCAGGTCAAAGCAACGTGGAGGCAGGCTGCCTTTTGCAGAACCTGGCGCTCTCCTTGGCGGACGGAGCAACTTTGGCTAGAAGCCGATGCCAAATGGAACGGACTTAATAGCACGGCTGTGTGTCTAAAACCATATGGCCACTCGGCGCCTAGGCCCCGGCCACAAGGATTAAGAAGTTTGCGAACAGCGCGCTGAAGGAGTTTGGCAGTGTGTGCGAGAAGGACTTGGCGGAGCTCAGGCGGGCTGCAAACACTCGGCACCTCAACAACGCAGAGAGGGACCTCCACAGGCTGTTCAGAAAGCGCAAGCTTGCAGTGCCTCTTGGAATTTCCACGTGCAGCTTCGGAAGCCTCAAGGTCCAGTACCTGAGCCTCAGCAGCACGTGGTTTCCCTTCCTGCTGCGAAACAAGCCGGAATTCTTGCTGGGGGGCTTCAACTACGACAGTGGAAACGCGACGCTTCTTCTGGACACGTTCTGGGCGAACCTCCAGCAGACCATGGGTGAGCACGCCGTCTACTCCCTGCAGGCTGGCCAGCTCAGCCAGTGCGTGCCGTTCTACCTGCACATGGACGAGGGCACAGGACTTCGCAAAAGCGCTGTGCTCATCATCAGCGCCCAGCCGGTGTTTGGGCAGTGCACGGCCGAGCGCTTCTACCAAGCCTTCCGAGACCGGACTGACGTCAGTGACGAGTCTATGCACCAGATCATGACAGCTAGCCAGTTCCACAACGCACGGGGTGACACCTACAACAGCCGCCTGCTCTTCACCATCCTCCCGAAGAAGATGTACACCGGCAAGAACGAGCGCACCATGGAGGGCTTCCTGGAGATCATCGCGCAGGAGTGCACCAAGATGATGACCGAGGGTGTCAAGGTGCGTGGCACACAGTTCTACCCAGTGTGCCTTGGTCTAAAGGCGGACGCCCCGATGCTGGTCAAAGCCGGCAACTTCAACCGGTCGTTCATGAACATGGGCAAGAACAAGGGCTGCTGCTGGGAATGCTTGGCTGGCCGAGACGACTACCCGTTCGAGGATGTGGGGACGTCGCCGGTTTGGGCTGAGACCATTGGTTTGGTCCCTCCTTGGACTTCGCCGGGCGCGTTGGCAACCATCCCAGCAAGGCTCTGCTTGCCAGAAGGCTTCTTCCGGAGAGACCCGTTCCACGTCTTCAAGCAGTCCATAGGCGGTCACTTCGTGGCCAGCGCCGTGGTGCTTTTGACCGACCTGGGCTACTGGCCGGGGTGCAGCACGGCCGTTGACAACAAACTGGCGCGGGCTTTCGATGACTTTCAGCACTTCGTGAAGAAGGAGCTGGGCTTGTTTTTTGTTGAAAACTCAAACCAAGTGTGTTCTCGCAGCAGCATGTATATGAATATCACACTTTTCGCTAGTCTACCTTTACGCAAGGGTCGTTGTATGCTCTTTCTGCGCCCGGGTGTGAAGCGTCTTGCGCTCACAAAAGCTTCCTTCCCTGCAAGGAATGGCATGGCAAGCACGTGACGCACATGAAGCATTTCACAAAGGCGCTTTTCCACTTTCCGAACATGGACAGCTACCCGCACGGGCGCTTCAAGGGCAGCGACTGCATGCTCATGGTACGATGGTTGCGGCACTTGCTTACGCACGGTTTCTTCCTTGAGTCAGAAGACCCCACCGGCAGGCAGACGCGCAGCCCGCTGGCTTACCCTCTGCAGATCTGGCACAAAGCCTTCTTCGAGTGCATTGTGCGAGCCTGCACAGGCGCCCTTCGCTTCTTTCACACCTTGCACACACAGGGTGTGTGGTTGGATGTGGCAGCGGCACAGTCAATGGCCACGGGGTGCCTGCAGTTCACGCAGAACTATAGTCAGCTGGCCAAGCTGAGCTTTGAGAAGTCGCTCCGGAGGTTTCACTTGGAGCCAAGCCTTCACTCCATGCACCACTTCTACATGGAGTTGTCTGGAGCCATCGCGGCTGGCGCCAGCAGCATCTTAAATCCGGCAGTGCACAACGCAGAAGCCGACGAAGACTACATCGGCAAGCTCGCGAGGCTGAGCCGGGCTGTGCATGCTAGTAGCACGACCTTGCGGTGTATAGAACGCTATTTGCTCAAGCTACACTTTGTGTGGCGGGGCGACTAACCAGGGAGAGCCACGCACGCTCTTGTGAATCATCGTGCTCCAAAAGTTGCTTAGGTGATTGCATGGTTTCTTTGTGACATATCCCATCGAGGGTAACCAGGAGGAACCCACCCTCATGCATGGACCAGTCAAGCGAGATACGCGCAACGAACAAACGGTTTCCCTGGCAAATCCATCTGAGAATCAACAAATTAATTGCGTGGCCGTGTCCACGCTTTTCAGGAACTGTGTGTGCGATTACGCACATATCTTAGGGCGGCGCCGGACCAAGATGACGACAAAGCCGATCGCCAGCGCAACATGGGCGGGCAGCGGGCGAGGTTGTGGGGTCGAAGGTTGTCATGGATTTGCAGGTTTCTGCCTACAACAGTTTTCATGACTCGAGGGTTTAGAAAGTTATGATTCTTCCGTGGTTGTTTTTGACCGCCCGACTGGAAAGGGAGCTTCCAAACAACCAAATGTTTCAGAGTTGCGTGGCGAAGCTGACTTCGGATCTTGGATTGCTCCTTGTCGCCGGCTTGTGACTGTTGCATCCAATTCACAAACTCTGACAGGAATTGTGACAAAGATCCAAGAAGACTTTGTAACATGAAAGGAGGGACCCTTTTTCCTACTAAACTGTCCTTTTTTTTCCGCATGGCCCTGAAAATAAGGGGGGCATCTTCGGACGCAAAAAACGGAGGGTCATGGAGCCTCCAGGTATCTTCCAGCGCGTTTTGTTCATCTCGCAGCGACAGTCACGGAAACAATCAGCGTGATACGTGCCCTTGCATTTTTGTGGCGGGCAAGAGGCGCGAATCCCAGGGCTACCACTCATGTGTTTGACAACTCGCAGCGAGAAAGCTGATCTGGGAGAGCCTATCCTCCTCGACAGCTCTTCAAACACTGGCTTGAGGACAATGGGCACCGCTTCTCCGCATTTTCGCCGGTGTATTTGCAACTGTTGCTCAGCGTCACTCTGCTGCATGAATCAGGATGTTAAAAAAAAGAAGTGCGAACCTGGTCTCGCGTGCGAATGATGGGATCTTGGCTTTGGCAGATCTCCAACGAAGGAAGCCCCCTGAGTGCATGGTCTGTTGCAACACCCCCCCCCCCTCCCCCTCTTCCCAACCAAGGCCCCAGCCACCGAGCGCCGTGCTCTGCTCTTCCGCTGCTCCCGCCACTCACGCCGGCCTTGGATCCCATAGACCCACAGCCCACCCCCCCGTCCGCCGGCTTCTCTTTTTCGGGTGCGTGGGTGAAAATAGGGGAACCCCAAAAAGGACCGGCAAACTAGGGCACATTGGCTTGTTGCGGCTCGGTGCACTGGTTTGGGGTGGGTTGGGTCCTGTTCCTGATTGAAATCAAGCGAAAAGGGACCAAAATTGGGCGTCATCCTCCCCCCTCCATTGCTTCTTGGCATCCTTGATGTATTGAAGGAGCATATCCGTGTTTGAGACCGCTGAGGGTTCAATGGAAAGCCGAAAAGCCGGTTAAGATCCACGCAAGCCTCAGATTTGGGCCCCCGGACGCTCCCAGACCCGCTCTGCGCTCAACTGCGCCTGCGTGCCTCGATCAAATCGCTTGTCGCGGATCCCATAGACGACCCGAACATGGACAAGGGGCACACATTGGATTTGCTTGTTGACTGGCTGTGCTTTTGGTGGGCTGTCTTGTTGAATTGTTTTGTTTCTCTTTGGGGGGGTTGCCTTTTACTGGTTGCTGTTCAGTGTAGGCTATTGTTTGGCACATGTTCGGTTGGCTCTTCCTTTTTCAGTTATTCAGTTTTGGGTGTGAGCTTGTTTGTTTCACTATCGTTTCCTGAATTCACAATTCTTGGTTGCTTCATTGGGGCTGGCCACTTTTTTAATCGTTCTCTCTATCGGCGCCGTTCTTGGCTTGGTTGCCCTCGGTTAGTGGCTATAGGCATTGGCGACCCTTGTGTTGCTCAGCTGCTGTTGTTTGTCTGATTGCTTTCGTGCACTGGCTATTTTTGGAAAGGCTGCTTCCTGTTGGTTGACGGTGCTGCTTGCTTGGCTGCGGAATATGTTTAGCTCCACTAATTTGGTCGGTAGTGTGTGGTGTTGTTTTGGTCGGTGGATAGAGTGTTGCTTGGTCGCTCTCTTTTTTACTATGTTGGCTGTGTTGTCTGGTTCCCTGATGAATTTGTTTAGCTGCATCTTTTCGTTGGCTTGGTTGGTTGACAATTTGGGCTGGCTGCATTCCTTTTTGTCTATTATGTGGCTTCCTTTTCGCTGCTGATAGCTTGGTTTGCTCACTTGCTTGTGCTTTTGGGGGGGTTTGGTGGCTATGTTGTTGGTTGTTCGCTCTCTCTCTCTCTCTCTCTCGCTCTCTCTCCTGGTGACTTACGCTTTGTGCAGTTGGCTGGCGATGGTTTCTACTTTCGTTTTGGCCGGGTGCCGTTTTTGGTTGGCCGTTTCAATGGTTGATGTCGCTTGCAAGCCTAAGCTTCTTGGCTCCGGCTGCTCAATATCGGCCGGCTCGCTTTTTGGGTTTGGGCTACCCTTCCTCGAACACTGCGTTGAATAAACCTAATTTTATTTTATTTTATTTTATGTTTAAAAAAAGCTTTAAAGCCTACCCAAGAAGGGTACCCTTAAAGACACACCCGTTTCCTCACGGGACCCTCCTGCCATGTTAGTGAAAGCTGTGCCAGGGGAGCTCGGAGCAGCTGCTGAGTGCTGTGGCTTGCTATGGTTTGGGGCGAGCTTCTGCGTTGAACGTCGTTTCTTTTGCGGGTGGCTGTTTTGAGAAAAAAATAAGAAGAAAAAAACATGTGGTCTGTTGGTTGCTTGGATTCGCAGGATTGCTATTGCCGGACTTTGTCTATTTCCATAAGGCCCAAGCCAGGAAACAAGTAAACGTATTTCAAGTAGTGATGCATTCCTTTTAAACCCAACAAGAGAAAATAAAGAATATTCTTAAGCAACTGGAGGTCTATGTCGGATTCCAACTTAATTCCCTCCAAGCTATGGGGTCTCTTCCAGAGCAGCTGAGAGGTGGACGGCTTTCACGGGACAGGAATGCGGGGGGTCCATGAAGAGGAGTGGTTGCTGGATAGGCAAGAGTTGCGGAAGGGCTCCAGGGCATAGGTGTCCTTTTGAAGAAAAATAGATGGGTTTCCCTGGGGCATAAAACCCATCTAAACCAGTGCCTTCTATTTGTAACCAAGCTAACCAAGGACACCTCTTTCGCTTGGCGGAAGTGAACGCCGGAACCCAGCCGGGGAAACCTGCTAAGGAAACCTGCCTCAAAGTGGATGTGCCGCTTCTTTTTGTAGCTGCTTCTTGGAAAACTAAAGAACTCGGTGTGCATTTGGCCCATTGCAAGCAACCCCTCTTTCCGCATGGTATTTTGGTAAGTGGGGCCCATGTCATCCCTCTACTGTGGATGTCCGCGAACATGGACCGCTCATCTCGCACAACAAAACACAAGTCAAAGCAAGAGCAAGCCTGCAAAAGATGGATTTGTCTCACAATAGGGGCTCCAACGCAGTGTATTGTTCTTGTGGTTCCCTTTGAAACCACAAGACAGCCTGTACCAAATCCAAAAAGAATACGAACCCTGGCTCGGTATGGACCTTTGAGGCTCAAGGAAGCCTTTTATTTCCCCTTCAAAGACCACAAATTGCGTTTTGTGGGACCTGAGGCCCCCATGTCCCTCCCCGTTCAGCCCCTTCAACTGCTGGACTTCTTGAGTGAACCTCAGGTTCTTCGCTCGGAATAGCTGGCTTTGAGAACCCCAGTCCAAACACTGACCCCCAACAGCTGCTGTTCCCATGTCCAAAATCCCAAGTGCTTTCTCAGATGCCCAGTGGCCATTGGAAAAAAAGAATCGGCATCCTTTCTTGGTGGGTTGACACAAAAAGTGGAACCCTTCCCACAAAAAGTTGAAAATCATGGGCATCATTTTTTGGTTGGTTGACTTTGAAGGGGAACCGTTCCCAAAAAATGTCTAGAAAAGGAAGCATTGGTTGACTTCAAAGGAACCGGAACCCTTCCCAAACAGAGTTGGAAAAAGGGGCGGAATCCACCGGGCCACTGGGCTTTCCAACAAAGCGGTGGTTAAAGGGCGCTGGGTCTTTCAAGTCGAGGAGCGGATGTGCTGCGCCCAGAGGTCGCTCTCCTGAAATGGATCGAGAGGTTCCTCTTGGGTTCCTCCGTTAACTCCACCCGGGTCTCCAAAGGAAACACACCCGGCCCGGCCTCAAATAAAAAGGGCTCAAGCGCCACTCGTTTCTTCCTATGGTGGATGCCCTAAATAGTGCAAGTCTTCAATTTGCGTTTTCGCCCCCGGGAAAAAATGAGAACATATGTCCAGTAGTGAATTCGATTCCCTTTAAAACCAACAAGGATAAAAATATATATTAATTTCAGCAAATGGAAGGCGATGTTCCTGTTGGGTTTCCTCCGTTAAATCCACCCCAAGGGTCTCCAAAACCTAAAGGACACCCAGCTTGGGCAGCACGGAGTGGGGTGAGAGGCAACGACAAATCCTCTTTGTCTCTCTCTTGCATCAACTTTATCCCATGAGGTTGTATTTTGTTGAGGGTACAATTTCCAGGTTGAATTGGGAAGCCAACTGCAACATCCCCCTTTTGAAGGCTCCCCTTTTGAGACACATCCGTATGCCACTTTATCTTGAGCCACTTTTCTGAAATTTCGAAACCCGGCGCTGGCGTCTTGCCATGGGTGCCATGACGCCGCTTGTTGGGGCCTGATGCTCCTGAAGGTACTCTCTGCTATGCTGAAGGGTTGTGATGTACCCGTTGGATCCAAACACCATGGGTGTGCAGCATTCCAGTTGCGATCGTTTGCTCTTTTCCCTGCAGGCCAAGCAGTCACCCTAGTGCTTGAGCTGCATCTAAACAGCAGGCCGACCTGGCATCTGCACTGGCTACCACTGTGCCAAATGATGCCAGGTTCAGTTGGTTCAAAAGTTGGCGCAGCTTCCGGTCGGTTCCGTATATTTAGCACATCGTTTTTCCCTTGCAGCCGGGAAAAAAAAAAAAGAGCATCGGCGCAGCCAGCGGCAAAGACTTGCCACCATGCATGGGTAAAAGTGGGCGCTTCCTTGATTCGCCGATTTTCGTGGTCATTTCCACACGTGAGGACCCGGGAAAAGGGATCTTAAGGCTTTTGACCAAAGGGAAAGTCTGGAGGTCAAGGGGGAACTCTGCCCCAAAGAGCTGGAAACTTTTAGGTGTTCGCCTTTTTGGGGCGCTAAAAGGTCGATTCGCTTTCTTTGGCAAGTCAGGTAATTGATACAGGGAACTGGTTTCCAGCCTTTTGAAGAAAAATCGATGGATTTCCCTGGCAAATCGGGCATACACCCATCTAAACCAGTGGAACAAAGGACCTCAAATTTTGGTGTCCTGATCCTCCCCGAGCGCCGTCGCGCCGTCCTGATCCGCTGGCGTAAGCTCCTCTGCCTGCATCGAGCTCGGCTCGGGAATCCCGACTCAGATCTTCAAGGTGGGTGTTTAAACAAAACGCATCTCCTCCATTTGCTTAAGTCACCTGGAGAAAATAAACAAAATGTCCAGTGTAGTAAACCAATAGGGGAAAAAACATAAGACACAAAAACATATTAACCAACTGAAAGATTTTGTAAGGGTGGAACCTCATGGAAAGGGGCCACGGGAGCAAACAGCCACACAACATGTTCTGAGTAGGGCGGTTTTGCCACCAACCCTCCGCCCTTTTCTCGAGTCTAGGGCGACCATCAGAGTCACTCGGCTTGTCGGGACTGAGTTGGCAAAGCGCCTGAAAGCGGTGAATTCCGTTCAGCTGAGGGTTGGCCGCGCATGGCGTTCCGAACCGAACACCCTGTGTGATTCCGGTCATGTATCTTCCATCCGCAGCCTCACACTACCTTCGAACGCTGAAAAGCTATTTTGGTCACTTGCCCACCGTTCTGAGAAATCGCTCAGATTTTCCTATCACCTGGGTGCGTGAGAATTTCCTGAGAAAAGGATCCCTGAGTCAAAGAACAGCTACAAACATTTGGCTATTGCCCGGCTAGATGATCGCTGCATCTTAATTTCTCATTGAACCTGTCCCAAATATTCCTTCATTTTGACACAGCTCCGTCAATCTCCATCTGGCACGGTGTAGCACAATTTTGACGTCTGACCCAACTTGTATGCTTGGGAAGTGCAGACAAGGCTCTTAGCGAAGGCAACCTCATATGGAAGATACTTTAAACACACTGAACAAGGTTGGGGGTCGGGAATAGTTGTGAATGAGCCAGTAGATCCACGTGAGGGGTCTAACAGTTCTCAAATGTTGAGCAAACAGTTCAAGTGATTGTTGACAGCTCGATTTTAGTAGCGCCTTGAACCTTTTCCAATGTCAGACGTCAGGAGCTCCCAAACAAACAAAAGGCCATCTCGCACTCGTCTGCTATGGCTCCAACCAGAGGTTTCGGCCGTTGCACAAAAGCCAACCACGCCCCCACCCCCTGAACTCCCATGATACCCTGGGTGTCGTCCAAATCAGGACTAAACAGGTCTTACTACTTCAAGGGACAGGGTACTGGAAACCCAGTGATTCCATTTACCAGTGTAGTTGGTAACGGGAGACTCACCGTTCAAACAGCCCTTGGGAAAGAACTCACCTATGGCTTGCCTATGGGTACCCAGGATGAACCCAACAATCAACCCCAACCCCCTTAACTCCCATGATACCCTCGGTTGCGCTCAAATCAGGACCAAAAAGGCCTTCTACTTAAAGGGACCGGGTACTTCGCAAGTGGCTAGCCTACTTTGCGGGTCTGAGCGCCCCGCGAGAATGGAGAGCTCCCGACGTCGCAGCCAGGCCAGGCTGGGGCACAGTAGGGACCTTGCAGAAGTCCCCAGGCTCAACGGAACGTTGTGGTAGTGGCACTAATGGTGGTGGTGGTGGTGGTGGTGGTGGTGGTGGTGGTGGTGGTGGTGATCAGGAGCAGTGGCAGGAGTGGCGGTGTGGTAGCAGTAGTAGAAGAAGTAGATGTAGCTGTTGGCGGGAGGACAAGCTGGCGGGCAGGCGGCGGGCGGTGGGCGGTGGATGGTGGCTGGTGCTGCTGCTGCTGCTGCCGGCGGCTTTATTATTTTGCTTACCTGCTCAACCAACAAGTATCAACCCTTCCTCCCACGAACATGGCACCCGTAGTCGAGGTACCTGAAAGATCAGTTTCCTCTTGGAGGGACCTTTGAGGTGCCATGTTAGCAGGGACACCTCTCGCCGCTTCCCTAGCCATGCTCCGAATGTATTAGGGTCTGAATGTCATGAGTTTCCTTGGGTGAGATGGTGACCCCAACTAATTCAGCAAAACTTCTGCTAAGTCGTCCTAGAGTCTCCATGAACCCCTGGAAAAAAGGGGTCATACCCCCAAAAAAAGCTTTGGGCAATGACCCAATGTTTAAAGGGTCACGGAGACTTCAGGTCTTCAAGCCTCACCCAAGGAAACTCATCCACTGGCCCGAGAATATCGCCAAACTCATCCGAACCTACGAAACCAAGCTGCGACACCGCCCGCCATCGAGGGCGGGACAATGTCTTGCCAGTGCCGGTGGGGCTTTCCTCAGGCGAGCTATGGCGAGAATCTGATAGGTTTGTCTATTTTGTGGGTACCGGATTCTTCCCTTCCGGGCTCACAAGGAGGAAAACCAAAGGCAGGGGGGTGCTCTATGTTCTGACACCTTACTGGGTTCTTTGCGTGGGTGAATCAAAAAAAGCCTGGCTTTTCGAGGCACCTCCTGTTTTAGTCGGGGGCTCACATAGTGCCCCGAAAAAAACAATGTCGGTGCGGGTGGGGAGACAGGAATTGATCACCCAAGTTGAAGGTTCAGCAATGGAGGTTGCACAAAAGTCCCAAACTCCAAACTCCCCCCCCCCCCCACAAAAAAAACAAACACGATGGTTTTAATGCCCCCTCCCCCCCAAAACACAAAGAACTTGTCCCTTTATATATCAACCAACCGCCAAAAACATATATGGCTTCCTCGAAAGAAGCCGCAGCTCCCATTCACTTTTTGAGCCGCGGCTCTAGGATGCCAATGCCGCCCAAGTCCAAAGTCTCGTAGACGCATGCCATGAACTGCATCTGGCACTGGTACGGCCTAAGACACCCAGACGACCCGAATCGACGAGGGGGTCGCTTTTTTTTGTGGCGCCCTCAAAAAGAAACACACAGCCAAGTAGGTTACAGCCGTAAGGGGGACAAAGGGGTGGATAGGGGGGGTAAACAGCACTACTGCCAAAGAGTTTTGAACGGGTCCCAGACCCGTCGCGTTGAATTCACGAGAGTTTCCCCATGAACAAGTGGATTGCCGGGAAAAATGAAACACACACACAGCGTTCTGCTTGCTTCTGGTTGTGGTTGATTTTAAGGGAAGCCGAATCCCACTCAAAGGAAATGAGGGCACGACCCCTTGCGGATTTTCATCCAAAGGGGCCCCAGAGAGACCTCACTACTTGAGGTCTCAGGTCTTGGCTCATATGTAGCTATTGGGTCCTGGGTCCCAAAATTGCCGCTGGCACAAGTCATGCGACTCCCAACTCGCCCCAACACCCTTACGATGATCGTCTCGGGCTTAGCAGCAGATGTGGAAAGCCGAAGGTGTCTTGCTCCGAAGCGCGCACCTGGCAAGGCTTCACGGATACGGGTCGTGCAAAGCAGTTGGGCTAAGCCTGACCCCCATGTATCTTCCAGCTCTCTGATTGGTGGTTTGGAGCCCGGAGGTTTGGTGGCTTGGTTGGGGAAACCATTCTACAAGAACCTGGGGTTCAAATCCAAATCCAAACTACCAATCCACACCACCAACTAAGGGTTACTTGTATCCTTTAAGGGAGCCTGCAAAACCCACTGGCCAGGAACCTCAAGCGCGACAAATGGTCTTGTGGCACATAAGATTGGGGTTTCAGACAGTCCACTACTAACCATTTTGTTCTTGGCTCATCCTGCTTTGAGAGGCCCGTGTGGCCAATGTGAAAACGGCGTTCTTTTTGTTGGTACTTGTTCTTCAAGGGACCCCTCTCCACAAAAACAACAAAGCACCAAGAGCTGTCCGGCTTCTTGTACCCTGGTCAAAACTCCCCAAATTTGGCGAGCAATGCTCTTTGGCCTCACGTGTTGTTTTAAATTCGAGCCCATCTGGGTGCTAAATAGGGTGTCTGGAAAAAAAGGAACTCTTGACTTCCTTTTTGAACACAAACCATTGGCAATTCGGCATCTAACCTCTACATTGATCACCCAAGAAAATTCACATGTCTAAGCAGGCTTTGGCACGTCTCCCATCAGACACAAAACAAATCCGTTTGGCAATCATACTGTGGATGGACGAGATCCATGTCGCAACACTGTTGACACCATTCAAAACCATACCGTGTGTGGGTAATTTTCGGGGAATCGAATCATTCCCTCCAGCGGATGTTCGCAACCATCAGATCTTGGTTGACGTTGCAATGGGAGCAAACATAATAATAATCTTCGCAGTTAAGTGGTTGGATTTCAACCGCTAAACCAGAATACGCGAAAATGCAACATGTTTCCCAACAACAACCATGAGATGGACTCCGTCCAGGCTGGATGACATTTCCAGGAAGACAACGCACGGCCCCTCAGAGCCTCAGGTGCCTGGCGTGGGGGAATCGGTTCGTCCAGGCCAAGCATCTGCTCTCATGGGGGCTGGGGCGGAGGGAGGGGAGGGATCCCAAATAAACTTATTCAGCCTGTAACAAGGCGGGGCTCCCTCCCCCCCCTCCCTCCCCCCCAGCCATGATGCTTATGTTCCCCTTGGATGCACGCTACCTCCGCAACTCAATCCCAAGGGTCTCCCAAAAACGCTGTTCTTTTGGCTGTTTGAATGGACACCAAAAGGACAGCGGCCCCATTGTGTGCATCCGATTTTGGCAACACCGACATGGCCCAACGAGCATTGCCACCGCATCCAGCCTCGGGATCTCTTGTCGCTGCTGCAGCCATGGCTGGTTCCATGCCAATGTTGAACGTTGACCCCCAAAGTGATCGGAATCCCCGCTACAAATTGCTCAGAAACCCCCATCGAAACCGACCAAAGGGTTTATGATTAAGAAACCAAAACACAATGTTTGGGAAGTGTACTGAGGAAATATAACACATGCGTAGCGATTAGCGATCCTCCTTGCGCTGAGCAAAATCCCATGATGCACAAGGCTCATCTTGGCGATCATTCCGCCCATTCCACGTCCCAGCCATGTCCGCACGAATTCCTTGAGCCCCCGGTGGATTTCAGCGACAGTCCACTGAACGACTCGTGAGCCGGACTGCCTCACCTTCCCACTCACTTGATGATTTACACCCTTTGGATCACCACATAGGTGAACAAAAACAACTGATTTAAATTTTGGATGCCAATCACTTAAGGCTCCTTTAAGGAACCATTCATTCAGATTTCGGAGTCAAACGGACTATTCCTTGGATACCTAAATGCTGCCTTGTGCGCCCATGGGGCCCATGGTGCCCATGGGGCCCATGGCTCAAGGCAGAACTCACAGCCCATGCATCTGACAGTGACCAAGACCCAAAAGAATTCCAGAAAACCCACATCAGAGTGAGCACGTGGCGGAAAAACAAAAAAGCAAAACATGACTTTCGCCCTTGATGGAGAGGCCCTGCAAACATCAAGAGATCCAAGCGAGGGATATGAGCCATGGTCAAAACGGAATGAGACGATGCCGGATTCCGAGGTTAGACCCGGCGGATCGTTGCAGGTCGCCAGTGGTCCGTTTGGCGGCTTTGTTGGGGCGGCTGAGCTGGTCATCTATACAAATGACCTCACTGGGAAAGCTCTTTGGGTTGGGCCCTTGTGAAGTCTGCCTGTTGAGTCGCAAATCAACCCCAATGCCGCTGAAAAGGAATCCATATTAGAGCAGCTTACACCACCACAATGATATGCGATAGGGAACCACCAACTGCACCACCAAACAACAATACCCATCAACCTGCAAACCAATAGGAGGCCATCAAACAAACTGTCAACCTACAAAATGGAAAACACTTAAACTGGGTCCGTCAAAGTAACATCCTCAAGCTTACCCTAAATAGTGGTGTAAAGGGACAGCCCCGGGTCCCTTTCTGTATGCTTTTGAGAAGCCTGCGACATGTTCACTTGAAGGGACCCCGCATGAGAAGCCTTATCATGACTATCCAAAATTGTAAGGGGTTTGTGACCACCCTTACGGAACACGTGGAGAAAAGGGGCTTAGTTATATGTGGGCAGAGAATCCTAATTCACAAGCCGAACATAAGAACTGCACCGTCGCCACCCCGCAAGTTATTTTGCCCAGCTTTACATGGATATCTATTGTATACTCTGACAAGTCTACCTGGTAGTGATTTCGGAATCATAAAGAACCATCTCAGAACCACTTGGGGCCATTGGTGTCCTTTTGGTGGAAAAAAAATAGACCAAGTTGGAACCATCCAGCGGATATTGAAAAGCCAAACCTAAGTCCAGGGACCCGAATCGAACGAAACGAAGCCGTCGCCTCAGTCAAAAGCTCCCGTCCGAGCGCCTCCTGTTGCCACCTTGAGACGGGCGTTGCTGAAAAACGCGGGTGGTTCACCACCCTCTCAATGCAAGTTGCTGCGATCAGTAGGGATGTGGGACACCCAGGCTGAGGGGTCCCCGAACAAAGCAAACCACGAGTTGGACGGCTTTTTGTTTTCGGGTCATTCCATTTCTCATTCGCCGACCGCACCAGCAAGACAATTCCAGTGTGAGCGATTGAGTCCAATGACGGTATGCAGAACCCGGGACCCCGTCCTTGCAGCACACCCCGAGTTTCTGAACAGGGGTGTCAAAAGGACAAATATGGCTGTCAAAAATAGGTACCCAAAACGGAACCCTGGCAAATAGAATGACTAAAACCTAAAGCCCTGGGCTTCTTTGATCGATTGATTTTGACCCATAGCCATATTTCTTGAGGCCCCAACCACCAGTGAATCCAATGAACAACTCCTGTGACACCAAGCTTGAGGTGCTCTGCACTGCAATGATCTCAATCATGGCTTTTAACTTTAAAGGGACATGTCGTTGTTCCCAAAAAGAAAGTCAAACACGTATTTCAAAAAGTTGATGCCCAACAAGTACCTTTCTCAACAGTTCATGGCTTCAAACCGACAACTGCTGCACAGCTTCATGGGGCTTACCCTCCTGTCACAAACACGAATGAACATGAAAAGGGTATTCGGCGCTTGGGCAAAGCGTGCTGTAAAACGCCCGCCTCAAGTCCCCTGTCAAGGGAACCAACAAGTCGTTTGAACACACCAGTAACTGGCTGTTGGGTGACCTTAAATGGCTTGTGGCTCAAAACCATGTCACAATGTACCGAAATGGCACCCTTGGCAAATGAAACCAAAGACTAAAAGCTGCGGTTTGTCTAGCTCGTTAATTTTGAGCCACACCCAAATAGGTTCTATCAAATGTTCTATCAACTGGATTCCTTTAGATTTTGGACACATGAAAATTCCCTTCTGTCGGAGGGTGTATTTGAAGAGAGGTATACACACAGTTCTAAGAGGAACCAAGCTGTCAATCGCCCATAGGTGTGTCTTTGATGCAAGTATCATTCTTTCGTGGATTCCAAGGTCCCTGATGCTTGAAACAAGGGCTTGTCCAACCAGGTCACCCCTTTTCACCTGAGCTCCACACATTCAGGCCCACAGCGCGCGCCATAAGCTGCACACGGCCCGGCCCGGCCTCAGATTTATCCAGGGCTCAAGCGGAAACCACTGGTTTCTTACATGGTGAGGGAAGAGGGAAACCCTCTACACTCCCTCAGACCAACAGCCGGAAGCTCCCAGAAGTCTTGGGAGTTTTTGGCTGGCCGGGCGGAGGGTATTCTTGCAGGTTGCGATCGGTTTTTTGGGTGAGTATGGTTGGTGTACTTGCACTATTTCGGGCATCCACCCTAGGTCTCAGCAGGGAATGATTTGGAACGACCCCCAACAAAATCAGGGTTGGTCTTTTCCTTTAAGGACATCCTCGGGTTCATGTCCCAAACCCCTCTTCATTCCCTACCGTGTTCCATTTAAAACATAAATAAATAAATAAATATATATATATATATATGCTACCCCCCTTGAAATACTCAGGTTTTGGGCCAGAACTGAGGTTTTTTTTGCCAGACTGGGGGTGCCATATATATATATATATGAGCAACGGCTTTTATTTGTTGCATGGCGTAATGGACGGGTGTTCCTGACTCGTTTTCCAACCCCGCGCTGGGTCGCAGCCCCCTATCTCGTTTTCCAACACCGCGCTCGTTTTATCTGGCTCAACTTTCTGTAGAGCTTGAAGAAGAGGAGCTTTAAGAAGTAAACGAGCTTTGGCTAGCTTGCCGCCTCCTTTGTCTCCTTCGTTGTTGCCGCACAACCTTTCGCTAAGCAAACTGCTGCTACACAATTTGGTGAAAAGTGATACTTGAGAGGAGGAACTGGGCCAATACTCACTTGGACGCTGTAGGGGACTCGTTCTGAACTCGTTTTGAACTCGTTTTGGAACTCGTTTTAACATGGCCCGCTTTTGGACGGCTGAAAATTTGCCCAGGGGCAAATCTTGAACAAACCAGCTACGCTGCTTCTTCGCAAGTTTGCCTCACACCCTTTTGCAGTTAGGCATCGTAGGGTTGGCCAGCACTTGCCCCGGAAAGTCTGTGGGAAGTTGCCACGGACCATGCGACGTAGGTCGTCTACTCCACATCTAACAACCTTGAACCCAAGACGCTCTGCCAGGCTGCACTTGCCAAAATGTAATCCTAATCCATGTTATCATGCTTGTTTGCCCTATCTCGTTTTCGGGGTGTTCCCCAACTCGTTCTGCGGCTAAATATGCACATTTCAAAAAAATGGTTCCAGCCCCTTGCATGTTTCCATCAACGTAAATAAAGTTAGTCGCTCATATATATATATTGTTTATGTTTCTGTGAGCGTTTGGGAGGGCCCAAAAGAAACCGAAGAGGTGAGCTGGCTGGATACTTGTGTCATAACCTCTCTAAAACTCTAAATGGCTGAAAACCATCGAACAAAACTCTCAATTGGTAGACTCACTTGCTGAGTGGATGGCCCAAAAAAAGTTCAAACTTTATATTTACCACTAAAATAGTCTTCCCAAAAAGTTTAACGTTCATGAACTCAGGAAGTGAGTAGAGGCTGGGTCACTGCCCCTCCAAATAAAGCCACCGCTTCCAACCGCAAACTCCATTTTTCTCCCCTATCGGAAGTCCAACCTGTTGTACCACTAAAATGGTCTTCCCAAGTGACGAAAGATCCAAGAACTCAGGTTTTGTAGACGCTCCCCGCGCGTATCTGATGTCCAGCCAAGGATGCCCAGTTAGAATTCATACCACCAGACATGGAGCGTGCTGCCCAGCGGGCTTGGCAACCCACTTTAGTTGGGCCCAAAGAGTTATCCAATACAGTATGGTGGATTCTGCATATGAAGTGAACAAACTGGACCAACCGTTGCACATGGCTGTCGTTTTTTTTTCCCCCCCTTTTTTATATATATATATATATGTATATATATATGATGTGTTTAACGCTTCACAATCGAGGAATACATGTTTAGTCTGAAATTATAACCCGGTTATGATCCAGTCGACAGTCGAGCAACAGACGGTCGTTGCTGCGCGTGGCGCTGTACATCACTCAGATTCGAGTGCAAAACTGTATCTGCTGAATCCCCATTGTTGATAGTCGGTGTCCTGTTGGTTTCCCTTCAAAACAAAAATCACACCCATATTAAGTCTTCTTATCCTTCTTATCTATCGACTGAAAAGAACAGGCCTACGTCCATCGGCTTTCCATTCGAAGGCGAACAAAAACACTCCAAGGGCAAACTTGTTGCAAAGCTGAAAGCCTTTGGGATGCAACCGCGGTCAAACAAATACAGCTTACTCCGGAGACAAAGAAACGGATGCCGTGCCGGCCCTGAATCTTCCGACGTCCCAAGTCCTGAAACCATGG